AGCAAAGTTAAAACCTGCTGTCTGCATTTCCCAGAATGCAGCTTTTGCTGCTAGGTTTACTTTGTTGCTTCTAATATTCTCATTTAACAAAAAAAATCTGATTTAGCCCATTATCTGCAGTGGAATAAATGTTTTCACCAAGACATCCTGGAAGAACTTAAATCTAGGCCTAGTAGTTTTATTCTGACATACCCCATCTATTTAACAATAGATTTTTAGAACAGTATAGAATAGCCCTTTGTTGTCTTTGTACAGGTATAAAAAAATTGTGGGTGCTTCACACAAACTGTGCAGGAATACAATAGAAATATTAAGACAGAACAAATAAATAACAAACAGGAGGAATATATACGACATAAGAGAGGGGCACACATTCAAAACACATTTAGATTTTCTTGTTGGGAAATTAGAAATTAATCAATGTTTTGATGTTTTACTTGTATGTGTTTTCCTAAAACAGATAAAAAGATATCAGGAATCAAGTCAGTATTTATAAAACACCATCCCTGTGTAATAAGTTAAAAAAAATTATATGATGATTAAAAGAGGTTGTATCTGGAGGTCTATGCATTTCATTTATATCTGTGTTTTCTGGTATTTTTCGTCATCCAGTCATCAGGACGCCGCTCCCGTACCACCTCGGAGTCTTCTACTCACTCTGGTGGAAGAGAGCGCAGCAACTCAACTGTGGTGCAAGCCTCTCCACCTCCACCCTCAATCCCCGAGCAGCCCATTAAAGAAGAGGCCAAGAAAGTCAAGAAGGACTCTCCAAAAAAGGTTCAGTTTTACATACTGGCTCTCAGGTTTTCAGTGTGCACTGTGGTCACTGTGCTAAGTAGAATACTTATTATCTTTACACACACAGAAAGGGGTTGGCTGGCTGGGTTGGATCATTGGGAAAGGAAAGAATGAAGCTCACTTGCCAGATGACAAAAATAAGTCTGTAAGTCATAGCTTTTACACGTTCACCTTTTTTTTTTTTTTTTTTTTTTTTTCTTGTTTACATTACCTGTTCTACAAATTTCATACACTTGTTTGTACATGCGGCCAATATGAGAGTGCTGTGATCTTTGTCAGATTGTGTGGGATGAAAAGAAGCAGAGATGGGTCGACTTGAACGAGCCTGAGGAGGAGGTCTGTAAAATTGAAAATGTGTTCTCCAGGCTGGACCTGTAGTGTGCAGAAAGCCTGAAATTCTTACAAATTGAACACTTCTAATAGTTTTTCTTCTAAACTTTTAGAGCAAGCCACCTCCGCCACCACCCTCTGTCTTCCCCAAGATGCCTCAAGTTCCTGGTCCTGGAGGGCCTGCTGCACCACCGAGTAGTATTCCTCCTGTCAACATGTTTTCCAGGAAGGCAGGTGAGATGAGGATTACTCAGAGTGGCTTTTGGCTAAACAAACCTCATCCTTCGCCTTGCATAATGCATCTAAAAGTAGAAGCATGTCTTCTCTTATAGGGCGCTTTTAACTCAGATGTGTTTGTTCCCTCTCAGGCACAAAGAGTAGATACGTGGATGTTTTGAACCCCAGCAGAGCTGCTAAACCTGGCGGTCCAGCTCCTGCTCCAGCGGACATCTTTGCTCCTTTGGCACCAATGCCTATTCCTACTAACCTGTTTGTGCCTAGCTCAGGTGTGTGTCATGTGCAAGATGGCATAATAACTTGTATTCACCAGCAGCATTTGGTGGCTGTAGAGGATTTTCTGCTTTTAAAGATTGAAGTAATTCTATGTTTATTTGTATCCCTGGATTAGCTCCCGATGATCAACAACCTCTGGAAGGCAGTGAAGGAGGCAATCAGGAGCAAAACTCACCAAACACCAGTGCTGGTCCACAGGTATCTCTACTCTTTACTAGTAATCCTCATCATTCTTTATAATCATGAACTTTACTCCTGTTCTTCATTTTTAAAAGATAAGTGAAAAAATGCATTAAAAAGACAAAACATAAGCAGCATACTGAGAAAGAATGTAAGGCAGTCATCAATAAGTACAAAGCAACAGCTCTACTTATCCAAACTTCTTCTGTTGCGCTTTTTAAAAAATCTGTCTAGATGTTCACCCCAATGTTGTTACCACCTGCCCCAGAAGGTCCTACAGTGCCTGATGGCTCCCATTCTGGAGAGGTAAGCCTAAGCCTCCTGTCATAATGCAACTGAAGCATGATGCTCTACTGCCAGTGGCAGTTTTGTTGAAGAAAGATGTTGAATCTATTTAATATTTCTTGAAAAATTATTTCTGTGCATCCCCCCCCCCCCCCCCCCACTGCATCAAATTAAGGTTGATTACGTCGATTAAGCATCATGAGGTGGAGTGTGAGGGGTGGTTCCCTATTTTTTTTTTTTTTTTTTTTTTTTTTTTTTTTTTTTTTTTTTTTTTTTTTTTTTTTTTTTTTTTTTTTTTTTTTTTTTGTTGTTGTTGCTGGGAGTTGGTACCCTATTAGTTAGGTTGCTTAATATTTACGCTAAGTACTCTTTAAAATACCAGAATAGGGAGGATGGTGTAGGTTTAAGTTTATTAGATTGATCAGTATTGCTGAACTATGAAATTTTTTTTTTTTTTTGCATACAGGTATAACAGAATAGCTTTAGTGTAGTTGTTGTTTTAAACTTGAGTATGAACTTATACAAAATGCAGCAAGATATTTAAAAAAAAAACAGTTTTGTTGATTAAAAAACACTGTATCGGATTCATATCGGTATCGGCAGATATCCAAATTTATGATATCGGTATCTGTATCGGACATAAAAAAAAAGTGGTATCGTGCCATCTCTAATTTCAACTGCTAGCATGTGTAATTCTACTTAATTTGTCCAGTTCTAGTTTATATTAGTCATTATCAGAACTGAAAATGAGCAATAAAAGACTGGCTGTCTATGCATATCCGCTCAGAAACAAGGCAACGCTGCTAATTGTATACAAGACATTATTTTTAGGTTGGCTTTAGATTTTTTTGTAAAATGTCCCCAAATCACTACAGTTTGCTTAAAAAGTAGGCCTGATTAGTTTTTAAAAACTAAGATGAAGATCAAGAGATTACTTTAGTGCGCACTTTGCTCTTTGTAATATTAATGTAGGAGCGAAAGAACATGATATTATATGCATGTAGAATTAAAATCTTTCCTCATATTCATGTGAAACGCCTTGATAAATAATACTCTGTTCCATGTGCTGGTCTAATATAATTCTTTCCATGTCTGTTTTTCTATGAACCATGGTTTTATGCTGATTTATTCATTTTCATTCTGAAAACTAATCCAGTGCATGCCAGGTTATTAAAATGGGTTTGTTTGTTTTTTTTAATTTTCCTCCTGCTGTCTGTAGCTGTCACGTTCTAGTTCAATGAGTTCTTTATCACGCGAAGTGAGTCAGCATTTAAACCAGGTACCTCTAGCTGGGCTTTAAGTTAACTCACCCCTGCCTGCCACCCTTGTAGCTCACTCCACATCACTAGTAGCATGCTTCACTGCACCCACCCAAAGCTTCTTTGCCTATTAAACCCTGCCTGTTGTCTTCACCATTACTAACTCAACATAACACAAATGGACAATAAAATCGGAGTATAGTTATATAATTGTCGCCAAAAAAAAGTGTTCACACTTCTGTGGAGTAGAAAAGATGAGAATTCTATTAACTTTGGTTATATATTGTTTTTATTGAATGGATTGACTGCAGCACTCCCAGTCCCATACCTCTAGTTCTCAAAAGATTGTCATCTCTGTCTAACCTAGTCCTTTTAGCAAGTTAAAAGTATTGAGATTTAGAATGAATTGCCTTGACATCAATTGGAGTGCCATAAAATTACACATAAATACAGATTCATGCTATCATGTTGTCTGATGTTTTCAGGCATCATTTAATTTATTTGGTTTAAGATTTAGTGCGTGTAAAATTATGTCATCTGATCTAAAAG